CCCCGCTCCCGCCGTGCCGGCGCCGCCGTTACCTGAGGGAGCCGGGCCGGGTCCTCGCGCTGGCGCCGCTCGCGCTGGGGCTCCCGCCGCCCCCCCCGCCCCGCGCGCCAGGCTCTCGCGAGACCGCGGGGAGGTAACGGCGCGGCCGCCAATGGGACGCCCCGGGGGCGGGGTCTGGGCGGTGAAGGGGCGTGATTACCACGTGCAGTGGGCGTGGCCATCGAGAGGCCCCGCCCGAGAGGCCCCGCGGGGACCGCGACACGTGGGGAGACGGGACAGCCCGGGACAGCCCGGGATACAGCCAGGACACCCCGGGACAGCCCGGGACACCCCCGGCTCACAGGCACCCCCCGAATCCCGGCACGGCCGGGCTCGGGCCTCTTGCAGACCCCAAAGCCCGGGCACGGCTGGCACTGTCCCCCCAGCACCGGGGACACCCCGGCCCCGGTGTCCCGCAGGGACAGATGGCGGTGACAGCCGGGGTGGCAGCCGGGGTGGCAGCCCAGGAGCCCCGGGGATCAGCGATGTCCCCGTCCCCTTGTGGACGTGGCTGAGGGGCTCAGCCCAGAGGGGACCCTCGGGGACAAAGCCAGCTGCAGGCAGGTGACCCTGGCCAGGGCCACCAAGGAGACACGAGCAGCTCAGGCTGTCACCGAACCGTCTTTATTGGCTGGCCGTGCCCGCTGTCACCGCGCCGCTCACATGGCGAAGAGGATGAGGAAGGCCACCATGAGGCAGAAGAGCCCCATGGCCTCGGAGAGCGCGAAGCCCAGGATGGCGTAGGAGAAGAGCTGCTGCTTCAGGGACGGGTTCCTGCGGGAGCGGGGCCGGGCCACGGCCACCTCGGTCCCTGTCCCCTGCCGGAGCCCTGTCCCCTCCATAGACCCTGTCCCCCCAAAGCCCCCCGTCCCCCCCGTCCCCTCCCAGACACTGCCGGACACTGACCCCGGGGCACGGCCACGACACTGACCCCAAGGGGGACACGGTCACTGACCCCAGGGGACATGGTCACTGACCCCAGGAGGGGACATGGTCACTGACCCCAGGGGACATGGTCACTGACCCCAGGAGGGGACATGGTCACTGACCCCAGGGGACACAGCCAGGACACTGGCCCCAGGGCACGCTCACAGCCACGACACTGACCCCGAGGGGGACACGGTCACTGAGCCCAGAGGACACTGTCACTGACCCCAGGGAACGGTCACTCCCCAGGACACTGACCCCAAGGGGGACACGGTCACTGGCCCCAGGGGACACTGTCCCCCCGCCAGGCCCAGCCCGAGCGTTACCTGCTCCGGCCGCGCCTCGGGGCCGCTCAGCGCCGGCAGGGGCTGCGCCAGCAGAGCCCGCGGGCTCCTCCGCACCTGCGGGCACAGCCGAGCTCACCTGGGGACACGGGGACACCGGGGACACCCCCCTGTGCTCCCCTGGGGGGACACCCCCTGTGCTCCCCCAGAACCGCCCGTGGCACCCCAGGGCCACCGCTGCCCCCCAGCCCAGCCCAGCCCGGTGGCACTGCCAGCGCTGTCCCCTCCAGGTGAGCGGTGACCCGTGGCTTTGTCACCGAGCCCTGTCACCGCTCCCTTCCAAGCCACCCAGAGTGTCCCCAGACCCCCCCGAGGGCCACACGCTGCCCCCAGCCCGTCCCGCGGGGACAGGGACAGGGACAGGGACAGGGACAGGGGCGGGTGGCACTACTCACAAGAGCAGGAGCCGAGATCAGCTTGGCACAGGTGAGCATGGCGAGGACAGAGGGACACGGGGACACGGCCAAGGGACACGGCTGAGGGGACACGGGGGGACAGGGCTGAGGGGACACGGGGGGACAGGGCTGAGAGACACAGGGGGACAGGGCTGAGGGGACACGGGGGGACAGGGCTGAGGGACACAGGGGGACAGGGCTGAGGGGACACGGCCAAGGGACACCAGGGGGACAGGGCTGAGGGGACACGGCCAAGGGACACAGTGGCACTCAGGGGACACAGTGGCACTCAGGGGACACAGTGGCACTCAGGGACAGGGGTGACACTCAGGGACAGGGGTGACACTCAGGGACACGGGTGGCACGCAGGGACACGGGTGGCACGCAGTGGCACACAGGGACACAGTGGCACTCAGGGACACGGGTGGCACTCAATGGCACTCAGGGACACGGGTGACACTCAGGGACACGGGTGGCACTCAATGGCACTCAGGGACACGGGTGGCACTCAGGGACACGGGTGGCACTCAGGGGACACAGTGGCACTCAGGGACACGGGCACCCGGCGTGAGGGGCTGAGGCGCGGGGGTGCGGCCCCACGGGTGACCGCGGCTCTGGGGGTCACGCGGGGGCCACGGGCACACGCGGGGGGGGTGACACACCCAGTGTCACCCAGTGTCACCCAGGCTGCCCTCCCGGCAGCGGCACCGCGGCGGCACTTGGGGGACAGGGACCGAGAGCCGCTGCGGGTGTCACCCAGGAGGGGACAGGGGCTCCCGAGGCCCCGGGCCGAGTCGGGCCGCGGGGGTCTCGGGCACAGCCGGGGCTCTCGGTGTCCCCCGTGCCCCGTCCCCCCGCTCGCTCCCCGCTCTCACCGGGCTCCGGTCGCGGCCGCTCCGTGTGCGCATGCGCGGCCGGGGAGGCGGCGCGGCTCCCCCTGCCGGGAGGGAGGACTCGGGGAGGTGCGGGGGGCGGGGCCTGAGCGGGGGTAGGCGGGGCTAAACCGCGCGCGCCCTCTGGCGGGAAAACGGGGGAGCGCAGGTGAGCGCACCTGGGGCGAGCACGTGACACGCGAGCGAGGGTGGCACCTGTGTGCGTGTCACCGTGTCCCCGCGGTGTGCCCACGGTGTCCCCGCCGTGTCCCCACGGTGTCCCCACGGTGTCCCCGCCGTGTCCCCACGGTGTCCCCACGGTGTCCCCACGGTGTCCCCGCCGTGTCCCCACGGTGTCCCCGCCGTGTCCCCACGGTGTCCCCACGGTGTCCCCGGCGGCGCACGGAGGGCACAGTGTCTGTCACCCCCAGGCGCTGTGTCCCCTCCCGGGTGCAGCGTCCCTCCCCTCCTAGGGCTATGTCCCCACCCCGATGGTGTGTCCCCCTCCCCCCCCGGTGCCCCCGCCGTGTCCCCACGGTGTCCCCGCCGTGTCCCCACGGTGTCCCCACGGTGTCCCCGGCGGCGCACGGAGGGCACAGTGTCTGTCACCCCCAGGCGCTGTGTCCCCTCCCGGGTGCAGCGTCCCTCCCCTCCTAGGGCTATGTCCCCACCCCGATGGTGTGTCCCCCTCCTTAGGGACACTGTCACCCCCACGGTGTCCCCGCCGTGTCCCCACGGTGTCCCCACGGTGTCCCCGGCGGCGCACGGAGGGCACAGTGTCTGTCACCCCCAGGCGCTGTGTCCCCTCCCGGGTGCAGCGTCCCTCCCCTCCTAGGGCTATGTCCCCACCCCGATGGTGTGTCCCCCTCCTTAGGGACACTGTCCCCCCCCCCCCTTGGGGACACCGCCACCCCCCTGTCCTGTGTCACCCCCCCTTGGGGACACCGCCACCCCCCCAGGTTCTGTCACCCCCCCTTGGGGACACCGCCACCCCCCTGTCCTGGGTCACCCCCCC